GGTCATTTGAAGCAACTTTTTCCTTTGCGAAAATTTTCTCCGAGGCTTCGTTTACGAGTTATTAACGAAAAACACTGACCAATAAGAGGCGAGCTCGGCTGGCGCGCGGCGACCCAGCCAACGAGTGCGCGGAGCCCAGTTCCGCTCACTGGCTCGGCCGTCTCGCGCCAAATGATCTCGCCTCTGATTGGTCACTGTTTTTCGTTAATAACTCGTAAACGAAGCCGCGGATTGCATTTTCGCTAAGGAAAAAGTTGCTTCGAATGGCCTCAGGAATCCTCTACTTTCGGATTGCGAGACATTTTTGGGACACTCTGTATATATATATACATATAAAATAATATATTAATTATAAAAGAATAATATTATATAATATATAATATATATATATAAAATATTTCAAACTGTGCTTGAAATAATTCCATAGTTGAGAACCAATAATCGGTTCAAGCATTATCCGTACGAACTCTAAATCCCTTGACAAAAAAGAAACTATCTCGTCGCAGAAAATGATATTTAAACTATCTATCGGTCGAGAAAATCTGATTAATTAGCTAATTTTAGTGACCACTCGCGCGTATATACGGCGATCGTCAAGGTCGAATTTACACCCGCGCCCTTAACGATTTCGGCCGGAGAACTCGCCGATGAACGCGGCCGGAAGGAAGTCGAACGAATGCGAGGCGAGGCGTTCACGCAATTCGAACAGTGGCTGCGAACCTGCGGTTTTGCTTCCGCGAGATTCGTCTATTCACGGCGGGATTCCGGTCGCGAGATTAATCCGCGCGAATCGCGTGTATCGTTCGCAACATTCTAGTCGGATAGATCTTCGCCGGGCCGTTACAGCGGGCGCTCTTTGTCCCTCGTAATCGAGCGATTAAAGGCCGAGGCGAAATGAACTCCTATAATTAGCCCGCTGGAAGTTCTCCCTATTCCGATCCGTCTCCGGCTTCCTCCGCCGTTTCCTCGGGCTTCCATGATTGCCGAACTATTTCATCGGACTATACCACCGCCGCAGCCCTGTCTCTTTCGCTCGGTCCCCGTTTCCCTGGTTCTGTCTTTCAGCGTTCCCCATCTGGCCTGAATGCTTCATTAGCCCCGAGCCAAATAAAGTGATGAAGATTAACTCGATTCAGGAACGTTCCGCAGCGATCCGACGCGTTTTACGTTCGGCCGTTACGTTCCACGGGCCGGACAGGACCGGCCCATGATTCTCCCTCGTCGTAACCGTTACTATTCAATTCCGACAGGCACTCCGGTTTTATTGTATCGGTTGTGTTGCGTTCGATTTCTAATATTCGCGTCCGTCCGCTGGCCGCATCAGTCGACGTCGACACCGCGCGTTGTCGGTTGTCGATAATTTCGTAGATAAGCGATATTTCTAGGTCCGCTAATAGTATGCAGGCCGCGAGTGACGGGCGAATAACGTTCCACCGATCAACGCAGTCTAAAATGTGTTCCTAGTTTAGCATAATGATCTTCGTCGCTATATGCATTTCCCACTACGTGAGATAATATGTGTGTACAATGTATATTCACTTTGTACGGATTACACATGCATTGTTATTGTATGTTCATTGTGTATTAGTATATTGAATTGTGTTCATAATTGTACGATATACAGGGTGTTCCACTATTATTTTAACAGCCGAAAATGTGGGGTAGCTGAGGTCAGTTGAAGTAACTTTTTCCTTTGCGAAAATGCGATCTGCGGCTTTGTTTACGAGTTATTAACGGAAAACACTGACCAATGAGAGGTGACGGCGCGAAGTTCGAGAGCCTTTGACAGATGGTCGGGACGGACTCGAGCCGCGTTCGAAGTATTGAACAAATCTCGAAGCGAGAACTTTCCGGACTTTTTTTTACTACGTAATAGTGATATTTTTAAGAAAAACGCTGTTCACCTTTACTTTAGAACGTCTGAAGAATATTTAATAATTTTTCAGACCCGAAATATTAAGTAATTTCATATGTCAAGGTCATCATATGAAATTTTTAAGCAACTCACCCATTAACACCCATTTAACACGATTATTATTTATTAAATTAGCCTGCGAATCATTCGTTGAGCTGTGTTCGGACACGAAGTTATTTAAATTGAAATATCATTTACGTACTTTGTTAATCTACACTGTATACCTTCCTTAAAAATTTCATAGGTTAACCTTGACATGACCTTGACATAACCTTGTTATGTGAAGGTTATTGATAATATTCTTCATATTTCTCTAACAAACATAGTAAAAAAAATCTGGAAAGTTCTCGCTTCGTGATTTGTTCAATATTTCGAACGCGGCTCGAGTCTGTCCCGACCATCTGTCAAAGCCTCGTGCTGCGGGCTCTCGAACTTCGCGCCGTCACCTCTCATTGGTCAGTGTTTTCCGTTAATAACTCGTAAACTAAGCCGCAGATTGCATTTTCGCAAAGGAAAAAGTTACTTCAAATGACCTTAGCTACCCCTCATTTTCAGCTGTTAAAATAATTGTGGAACACCCTGTATATTCACGTAGAAGAAAATACAATCATAATGATCACTGTGCTCAACTGGAATCGCGTTTCGGATCACCGCGGCGACGTCCTCGTGT